GTTTGGTCCACAATGTCGCTGTGCCCTCTGTAACCCAGAGTCAGCTAATGCTACGCATCTGCTAAGGAACGAAGTCAACCTACCAGAAACTCCAAAAGTATGGCCGACACCGTTCATGTTTGCGCCACTACCATCGTGACCCAGACGGTACAACGCGACCGAGAGCTGGTACATTGGTGGCGCCTGCTTGCGAGGTCCACCTGTATGGAAAATTGGGTGGTGCTTTATGAGTTCCAAGAGCCCTGTGAACTCACTCGGCGTGAGACGGAATCTCTGGCGGAAATCCGTCGTGTTGGTGGTATTTTTTCTAGCCGTGAGATGGATTTTGTCGATGGTTTTTCGCCAGTCACGATCACGGAGGTTGCCATATACTTTGGGTCGCGTCATGTATCGAGAGCGGGCAAGCGCGGTGTACATGTTGATGAGGTGGCCCTTGTAAGGAAGGCTGAGGGCAATGGCCAAGCAGGCCATGCGGCGGTACTTGGCGAGCTTTCTCTGTTTTGGGCTGACGCGACTCATGACGATAGGAGGATGTAGGTGCGTGTTAATGGAGACAAGAGGGGAAGTGGATGGAGAGGATAGAGGGCGAGAGCAAAAGAAATACATTCGACATCACTGTCGGACATGGCCGACGCGTTTGAGACGGACGCGTTCTAATCGGGTCCAGACCTCTGCAGGGCCAGCCACGTGTTTATCCCTCAGCCAGGCCCCAACCCTGAGGCCGCCAGTTTAAGACCGCAAGTTTAAGAACGCCAAATTGAATTCCCCTAGTATTATTGCCTTGAGGTACTGTTGTCTGAAAAAATTGGTTGCCAAGAGGTATATGGTTTGTACCACTGAGTCAAGTTCTGCTAGTAGTAGTTGATAGTAGGAATTGGTAGCTAGCCAAGTTGTCAGTAAATAAAATAATCAATAGGGGTGTTATCTCCCTCCACATCTTCTGTGCAACAGTGCCCACCCAAGACCCGCCCAGCGCTAGAGACATCATGCATTTTCGACGTCCACTCCACAAGGCCGTAGAGATATACTCGTGATTGACTAAAAAGGAGCCCTAACAAGAAAACTATTATGGAAGAGGAGAAAATAGCGATACTGAAAGCCAGAGGCGCAAAGAAATCGTGTCATGGGGAACAAACAAAGGGAAAAGAGTTAAAAAGCAAGATCGAGAGCCAGAGGCGCACAGAAATCGTGTCATGTGGAAACAAAAAGGGGAGGAGGGTGGGAAAAGAAAAAGAAAAGGCTGTAGAAAAAGGGGCAAGGTGATGAGCAAAAGCTTTGAAGAAGAATATGAAGAAGATGAGATGCACAAAGAATTGGCCACAGGCAGAAAACACAATACTAAGCGGAACAAGCCACACAAGGGCAGGCACATCAACAGACCACACAGCGCTCGCCACAACCATCCTCCTCCCGATAACTCCGGCTAACACTTTAGCCCCCATTCAATTTGGTGTTAGAATTGTGGTGTTAGCCACCCCAAGTCCAGACTCTTCCCCGTGAATTCAGGGTAGCCCTCAGGGTTGTGCCTGACTGGCCACGTGGCATATGCATTTGATTCCGTTTTCACACAAGGGATGGAAGACGCAAGAATCTAACACGAAAGAGTGTGTTAGAATCTAACAGTTGCTCTAGACCTACTGTTAGATTTTTGCGTTAGACGGACCGTGTCAGACCCAAAATTACCCAAAAAGGCAATTCCAAGGGACCAGAGGCCTTCGGGCGGTGTTAGAGCAAATAAGGTCTGCAGGGTCTCAGGCACTAAATCCCTGAACCCTGAGGCCTGAAACCGCGACAGAAAGCGTGTTAGAATTTCTAACGCCAAATTGAACACCCCTAATAATGATGGAAAGAGTCTGAAAGAGCTACGGAAGATGTCCTCCTTTTATACCTTCCAGTCCATCAATGATTACTAAGTATTCTCTGGATTTGCCACCCATGCTGATTCAGCACTCCTCTTGATTATTCAGCATAACGAGAGCTGCTGAATAAGCTGCTGGATCAGTGTAACAGTAAATGTGATTACATATTGAAATACTTTTGAGGTATATGATAAAATAGTAAAGCATATGATAAAGTGGCTAAGCTGCTGAGTAAGCATGAAGAAGAATGTGATAAAATACTGTGGCTATGCTGAATAAGCAGAAGGGTCATATAACCAAGTGTCCATAGTCTGAAGAAGGATCACATTGAATGATCAGGCAAGTACCGAGTTGGCGTGGACTGGAAGATGCGGGCAGCAGTCTTCGTTTAACTGGTGCTATGTAACTAGTTGGTCTGACATGTGGAGGACCGGGAGGTTTTCATTTGGGTTTACATATCTTGCTTGCTATTTGAGAGATTTTCTAATATTCCAACTAGTTAAAGTCCATACTGTCCGTTCGCCTTTAGTCCTAGTTAGGAGCTGCCTGTTGCACACTTGATCCCCCAGCTTCCTCCAGGGCGCTTATCATCCCGATGAATGACTCAGCTGGTTGCCATTTGTGGCTAGAGCAGAGCCACAAGTTGAACTGAACTACTGATGCACCTCCTCTCTCTCCTTCTCTCTGAACTACAACTAGGTTCTTCCTGATTGCCCGGCGTTGCAGCTCTCTTGCCCTCATGTCACAGCATCTAGTCAATGCTTACATTGTCCATTCAAGCATAGTCAATGTATCCCTTTTGGTGTTTTGTATTGTTGTGCATTGGCATTACATAACCATAACACCTCAGCAGCTCAAGCCCAATTCTTTCCTTGAGCCTCAACATCCTTCTTTCCAATCTCCTTCCCCATTGTCGCAGCTCCTCCACCGTCCCCTTTGATGTCATTCCCCCGCTGGAGAAGACAAGGGGCTTGAATTTGACCCTTGCTATGACAAGCGCCTCGTTGGTAGTTTGTTCACCCTTCTTGTTGAGGGACCGGAGGCATTGTTGGAGGACAAAGGGAAGGTGGGGGGTGTCAGGGGTGGTGGACCTGGGGATAGATGTGTTAGCAGAGGTCTGTGTGAGGGAGTAGATCCTGATGTCATAGTCAAATTGGCCAAGGTGGGATCTGCCTACAATTCAGAGGTCATTGCGCTGGTGCCCGTGGAAATATCAAGTTTTGTCCCAAAGAGCAACCAAACAGTTGGCCAAGTCTTAGAACTAATAGTAGCAAGCTCCTCTTCAGTAGTAAGAGTCCCACCTTGAAACACTCAGCCAGTTGAGTCTGCTAACATTGCTTTAGCATTCCAAGCTCACCAGACCCCGTCAGTAGGACATTATTTTACTGCTGGGTGGGTATGCTTGTGAGGGTATAGACCTGAAACAGTCTTAAACAGTAATCTTATTGACAATGGTGAAGAGAGTTACATAGAGTTTGTAAGTCTTATCAGTTCTATGTACTTAGGCTCTATGTAAGGCGATGTCGGACAGAAGGAAAAAGACAAGACGGCCATACTCGCCAACTAGTGATTTGGGTGTCTTGATATGCCCAGCTTTACTCATACTTGTCAGGTCTATACCCACAAGAGTACTGATCCAGCAGTAAAATAATGTTCCATTGATGGGGTTTGATGAGCTTGGTATGCTAGAGCGACTTTAGCAGACTCAACTGGCGGAGTGTATTGGGATATGAACCTAACATTTGGCCAACTGTTTGGTTGCTCTTGAGGGGAGTGTGTTTGGATATAGATCTGTTCACTAAGCCCTTATCATAGGCAAGTCAGTGCCACACCTAGTAATTCCCTGAAGTGGCATGGGCACTGAGTTGTGTGGATGTGTCATGATTAAAGGAGTCACTTGTGTAATTCGTTCATTCAATAGATTAGTTGTGTGTTTGTGGACCGTGCTCTCCGTTGTTACACATATCAGAGTCATAACGAAAAGGTTTTTGCCCCTTACAACAAAATTCTCTTCAGCACGTCAAGGGCACTCCCCAAGCGTGACAGGATGGTTGAAGGATGCGCGGTGTACATACTCAATTCATATCTTACTGTTCTACTCTTCTCTATGCGATAATACCGAAAAGGTCTTTTCCCCTCTAAAACACCTTTTCCAGTCACTTCCCTGCTCCGTCCCAGCTAGGTCGTGACAGTCAGACGTATTCAAGGTTGCTGAGGAGCCTCAAATTTATGTAATATTCAGGTGTCTTGAGCCTCTAGCTTACTCATTGTTCCCATGGATCCGACTCATCTTTCTTATGAGCCTTACCAATTTTTCCCATGAGTCTAACCAATCCTACCTCAGAAGTATACCTCGTATCTATGCACTATTTTACAAGATAGCAATTGATGGGATGTTCTACAAGAATACTTCTATGTATCCAAGCTACCAGAGTTGTGTCTCTATGTTTCAAGAATGATTGCTTACTCCTGACAGTAAAGAGGGTCATGGAAGAGCAGAGCTTCTTTGGAAGAGAGGTTCTTGTTGAGTGATAATGAATGTGTCTCAACGCATCCAGCTTTACTTCTTTACATAATCTTTGGACTTAACCGTTGAAAGCTGGAGCGCGGTTGTGACAATACTTTGGACTGACTTCATGTCTTGTAGCTAAGGGCTGGAGCAGAAACATGACAGTGGCTAAGAATTTACATGTCACTATCACAGCAGGATCAACAGAATAGTGCTAAAGGTTTTGTGTATATAGAAAGTGAAATCATGATCATTGATAGCTTTCTTCTTGCATATCTGCAAGCCTCTGCCTCATTGCTTTCTCTGTTTTGGTGGGTGGCACTTTACGGCATATTGCTGCACCCACAAACGCCATCAGACCCCCAAATCTCAAAACCCAAGCAACACCATCTTTACCCCCACCAGCCTCCAAAAGTGTAGAATGAGTGTCGGCTGCCGAATTGGCTGCTTTGAAAATCAATGAGGCAGCCACAGCAACCTTTTTGAACGGTCAGAGAATGACTGAGAGTGACAGAGACATGTGGAAGTAAATGGTTGTGCTCACAATGAATTGTGGGAACACTATAGCCAAATTGTGGATTCCCATAATGGTCCCTCCAGCCACAGGACCTTCACCTGTGTATTGCATGTCTCCAGCACCCTCGAGATCCGCTGTGGACAGACTGCGCACTAGTGGGGTATATTCATTGACTGGGCGGCGGCTGGTTGGACTTGTGGGGTGTGATCTGAAAGCAATAGGGTTTGATGTTGTGCGAACATGTTCAGGCCGTTGAGGATGACTGGTGGACAATGATTGACCTTGAGAGGACACATCTTCCAATTCCTTGAGAAATTCCATAATTATGCTGGATATCCACAGTCACCAGGGTTAGTAGTGGTTGTGCAGGCACTACTGAGACTCACGCAAAAGGACTATGAAATCAACAGTCAGTGGTTGTACACTTTGGGGCATAGAACATGCTAATAACTCACACCCAACAGGCAATAGCCCAGCAAATTCCAACCAGAGCAATCATTATTGTGGCTTGCCATACCTTGGTGATGAAGAAAGTTGACATCATCAGGCAGCCAAAAAGGATGAGCCCAGCTGTCCAGATGTTTCGCAGCATGAATGGCACTATGATGGGGGCTTCAGCGAATATCTCATAAGAAAAGCAGAGGAATTTACTGCTTGGCAGCCGCATAGGACGCCCGGCACGTGCTGCTTCAGCCTTCCATTGTTGGACTATTTCTCTGATGCGCGCCATTTCAATGTCATCATTGTCTTCAGAGGCATCTGATGGAAGATCCCCATCACACAGTCTGTCAGGCATTGGCTTGAGGAGGCGTCGGTCGCGTACTGCAAAATAAGGCAGAAGTGTACCAGCGACTATGGCAACTAAGGGGAAATCAGTATCAGCTTGTGGAGGCAGTGATTATGATGACCTACCCAAAGAATATATCAGAAGAGCCAAACTCCCAGCCCGGGTAGCCTTGTCACCATCGGGGTGATGTTGGAGTTCCTTGGCCATTACTTCAGCCACATATGTTGTTGAATAGAAGAGGTAAGGAAACCACCCCATGAACGCTGCAATCTGCACAATGCAAACTCGGCGGATTGCTTTGGGGAGATGCCGAGCTGCCTCATAGATTGTTGCAACAGCATCTCTTATGTTTCTATACCTGGATTAAGCGTGGGAAGCAAACGTAGTAGGCGTGCTTACGATCTCCTTTCACCAAATATATTCTCCTTTTCCTTCTCTTCCTGGGTCCAGCATGTGATCCAAACAGTAACAATCAAGAGGACAAGTGCCACAATGCAGACTAGAAAGACCGGACGTCAACATTGCACATATTTCTCATAAGTGGCATTATCTGTTACCTTTGCGGAACTGCCCTCCTCCAGCCAGTCGGATGATGGGCATATCGTTCAGTTTGAGAAAGCCTTTTATCAATTCAGCCCAAGAAGAAGACAGTTTGCACATATACTGCTTACCCATTGTGAATCCCACTATATTCCCAACATGACTGAAGCGACCGTGCCACGCATTTGCCGTTGCCAGTTGTTCGCCGGGAGTGATGTCCAGGACAATGTTCCGTAGAGAGGCTTGTAGTCTATCAAAGCATCAATGATATGTCGCTGTTGTAGAGACGACCTTGCTTACGCGTTCAAAGCAAAGTCGAGGCAGTAGAAGCACAAGACAGCTATACCGATTGCAGTGTTCTTGACCTGTCAACAAACCTTAGCATGCTACCGGAAGAAGAAGACCAATCAGGCTCACCATCTTGATGGTTTTAGGATCCCAGTCACCGTGGCCCCCGCCCATCAAGTCAACAAAAGACTTGGCAATGGGCTCTGTGAATGCTAAACCTAACCCACTGAACACCAGCAAGACAGTGGAAGTGACTATCCAGTATCTCCTTCGATAGCGAGAATGGGAGGAATCCGAAATCGCCCCAATGAGAGGCTGGGCAATGAGCCCAGATATCGGGCCGGCGAGCCACACCAGCGAAGTGAGTTGTTCCGACAGACCAAGTGATAAGAGATATGGTGTTCCGTAACCCAGCTCACTAAGTCACAGTCAGCCGATGGCCCTCTAGTCTCTTATCCTGAGCAACATATACATACACCGTCCAAGCAATCTGACTTCCTCCCATAGATATCGTCAAGCACATGAGGCCCCAAGTGCTAAGTCTCCCTTTGTCTTCGCTCGGCTTCCGCGTCCCTCTGCTGTCATTGCTTGTCGACCGGTTTTCGAGGCGACGATCAGGCCTGTCACTGGGGTTTGGCAACCATCCAGAGGTGCTAGACCTGCGCCTGCCATTCTGATCGACGGGGTGGGTGTCCGAAGCGAGGGTGTTGTCCTTGCTTTTGCGGAGGATAGAGGACAATGAGGTGTACTCTTGCCGAGGGCGACTTGGCTGCTCTTCCGGCGGCGGGGGATGGGACATGGCAGACTGGGGCTTGCGGGAGAGAAGCGAGAAACGGTTGCAAGGGTAGTACATACAAAGTACATAGCTGCTGATAGCCATGGCCACCGGGGATGACGTAAGACCTTGGTGGCGGTCACCGCCGACGCGTCTTGCACCAGCAATGTACTACCAGAGTCTAGTCAACCAGTCACCCAACATCACCCAACATCACCCAACATCACCCCCCCTCCCAAGCCGGCTGCCATGTCTCGAGCCCCATCAACCCGCTACAAAATATCCAATCCGCAACCCCTTCCCTCCGATCTCAGGTCGGCCTACAGCACAGATGCCCGCCCCTACCCCTCCTTCCCGACCCCACTACCCCGACAGTCTTCCCAACGCGACGGCACATCATCCAACGTATCGATCACCCCATCCAAAGACCATGGAGGGGCTATCATCAAGGAGCCGTCGACAAGTCCAGCCAGGCCTGCTCGGTCACGCATGAGAGATATGCCCCAGCCTGGCGTGCCTCAAAGGCGAAACGCGGACACCCGTACAGGTCCAGGGCTGCCTATACAGACCGCACAGATATCAGCCAGAGCATCGCCCCAGAGCGACGGTCTGGATATACCCCCCCTATCGCCGATGACTCCGTCTGTGCAAGGGCATGACCAAGAGTTGTCCGAAACCACAGACGTCTTCGCAAATGATCGCTCCCAAAGGTCGGAGCTTCGTGCCCAAGTATCTGCTGCTGTGCAACAATCACAGCAACCATTTCGGGCTCATAAGGGCACTGGCTCCGATCAAGTCAGAAACGCAGTTGGTGCGTTCATGAGTGCCGGAAGAAGTCGAGATGATGCCGCACCTCCTGCTCGACGGCCAAAACACCATGAACGGGCGAAGAGAGAAGTCAAGGAAGAGCAATGGGAGGATGATTTTCGAAATGGTGAAGCTAGTGATATCGATTTAACACTACGCCAAGTCAGAAAAGACTGGCCTTTTGTCATGGAAAGTGACTTCTCGGCATCCACACTCGCACTGTCTCTGCTCTCTGGCCATCCATCGTCGTCTCTCCCGGAGCACCCTGGTATTTCTCCCTTCCTACGACTACACGACTCTCTTTCCACCGCGTTACAATCCGCGGTACAATCCGAGTCGAAACCCTTCGCCGCGTCTTTGCCGGGGCATCAGAATTTTCTGGACATTCTGGCAAAAGCGCAAGAGCAAGTGCGAGAGTCCAAGTCTGACCTCAAGGCAGCCCGGGACGGATTCGCTGGAAAGGGAAAGACAGAATTGGCTATCGTCAGGACGCGGGAAAAGACGGTGCGAGATATGCTGAAGATATTAGATACCATGTAAGTCTCCAGGAGCTCTCTCAGTCGATATCTGCTTACCTTTTTGGCTGCAGAGACCATATCAAACAGGTTCCGGATCAGTTAGAGACTTTGATAGGCGACAAACAATTCCTTCGGGCCTCATTAATGCTTGTGCGCAGTCTCAAGACTGTCAGTAAGCCCGAACTTCTCGAGATCGGCGCGTTATCGGACCTTCGATCGTATCTCACATCCCAAGAAACCGTAAGTTCGAATGAAAAGTATCCGAATCACTGCTGACGTCTAGTTCTAGACGTTGAGTGAAATTCTCATCGAGGAGTTGCACAATCACATCTACCTTAAAACATTCTACAGCGACTCTCGATGGCTCCCATATCAGCTGGGTCAACGAGAGCTACCGATCATTGACCCACAAGAGGACGAATCGGTTCTTTCCCGCTCGCCCGACCCTTCGGCCACGAAATCTAAAAAAAGTGATCAACTAACCTCGCGGTTCTCCAGATATCTTGCGCAGCTCGATCAGAAACCCAGCGCCGACCCTTTGTTGCTGTATAGCGATGACCTGGCCCCTCCTATCTCAAGATCTATCGATACATCCCACGGATTGAAAGCTTCCACGGCGCATGCTTTCACGAAATCAGGGTCGCACGGGTCCTTGTCCTCTCTGGCAGGAGATGCCGAGGGCCCTCCTGAGATGTTGAGTGCAATTGGATCGAGCAACCCTGAGGTTGAATCTTTCTCCTACATCGAGAGTTTGCTGGAGGCATTGGCTGCAATGGGTAGATTAGGGCAAGCTCTGGATGTGGTCACTCAACGAGCACCAGCAGAAACTCACGGACTGGTTGAAAGTACACTTGACGAAGTGGATGACAGGTCAGTACTTTCTTAATGGCATTCACCCGTATTGAGATGCTGAGAGACGTTTTCAAGAGCTCAGCAGAGGCGAGACGCTCTTGATGTCGCTCTGCGTACCCACTCTTCCGCCAATCCAGACATCTTTGCAATGCCAATGTCTTCTTCGCAGCGGACGCGCGCCTCACTTGAAGCTTCTAAATTCGACGTGTCTCTTGAAGCCACCGGTCCTCCGCAGCATGTGGCGCTCCTCAATGACTTGTTCTGGACTTTGTACTCTAAATTATGTGCCGTACTTGAAGGCCACCGGGTCTTGTACGAAGTTTCACGGTGGATCGCGTCGGTGAGTCGACCGCGACGTTTGGCTTCAGACTCTTGCTGATGGTGCATAGCGGAGAGATTTTCGAAATGTGACTACCCAGACTAGCTCAAGTATGTCGTTCAATGCGCCCATCTCAGAGATGTGGAGACCCATACAGCAAGAAGTCAAGTCTATATTAAGCAATTATCTCACGGATGATCAGCAAGGTTCGACTCTGAATAGACATCACATTTTGTCTGTCAACGAGTTTATGCGCGATCCCCGGGTCTCAAGAGACAAGGGCAGAGTAAGACAGCTCTATTTCATCAGTTCACATCGTTGACGCAACGTGTAGCAATTGTTCAAATTTACTGAAAGTGACGCTCGAGCTGTGCAGAGCGAAATCAAAAGCGTTGACGACTCTGTTCAAGAAGCTTTGCACTCTTCTGTACCAGGACTCGTCAATCCTAATACTGAGCAACCGGTGCTCTTCACTGTCGACAATGATGACCGTTCTGTGTCAGGACGCTACCGTACTCTCGTACCACCGAATGCTTTCAACGTCACTACCTTGTTCCAACCCACTCTCGCCTTCATCCAGCGCACCTCTCAAATTGTCCCGCAAGGCTTTGAAGATGAAACGGGAGGAATTGATACAGTCTTGGAAGACTTTGTGGTCAAGGTGTTCTTACCGCAGCTAGACGAAAAGGTCACGGCAGGATTCCAACAGGCGGTGTCTGGCTATGACGCATACCAGGTTGACCGCGCTCTACTGGTTGATACGCCACAGCCACCAACCAAGGTGAGTGGCCCCTGATTTCTTGTACAAAGGTGCTTATCACTCTGTCCAGTCTAGTGCCAGAGTCATGACTCTAATTCACACTCTGTGTGTCATGCTTCAAACGACACCATTCCATCGAGAAAACTACAGTCGACTCATCATCGGAGTCATTGTGCAATACTATCAACAGTGCAGCACGCACTTCAAGGGTGAGTCGAGCATTTCAGGCTGCAGCAGCTAATCTCCACGTCATTCAGATCTCGCGTCCGTACCTTCAACGATGGATAATCCTTCGGATAGGCCCCTGACTGTGCCAGCTATCTGGGCCCAGAGAGAAGACGTCACAGTGTACCTTTCTGAGCTACGATTCGCCATGGCGAGTTCTACCGTTTTGATTTCGGAATGCGCACACAGCTTATATGGACTTAGAACACTGAGCCAGCTGCGCTGTCCTCTATCTATCGAAAGGAGCTCTCCATCGAGTTGGATCTACTCGGTTCAAAAGCCCCTACCGAATCCCAGCTCATCAATTCGCAACGAAAGCTCGAAGCGCTGGGTGATCTGTTGCGCAGCTTGGTGAGTGGACGATCTTCATCTTGCCGCTTCTCAGTCCTGACGAACCACTTCCAGCGCTGGTTCGTAAAAGCTCTCGTGGACCTGGAGAGTGTTGCAGATGAAACAACTTTGCCAGAGGGGGACCCGCTCAATGTAAATCTCATAGCCAATACTCGTCCTTCTATCAACGACGAAGAACCTCGTCTACCTCTGACTCGTGCTATGGCGGAGTGAGTCATTCATGATCATATGCAGGTATTCATGGCTGACCCTGTCCTGTCCCACCACTAGGCGATATCGAGCCATTATACAGACCTATGAACAACTGGCGGAGATGATACTTAACACTATCCGGCTGGAAATCCGATGTAGGGTCATGTGCAACCTTGGCGCTTTTCTGCAGAACGTGAGTACGGTCTTTGCTCTGCCGTCTTCATGATTTGATGGCTCGCTTGGTAGAGCGATTTCCGGCTGGAAAGTGAAGCTTTGGAACCGGACTCTGATATTCTGGATCTCAATACAAATCTGGTCGAGGCTGAAGAGTTAGTGCGGAATGCTGTCTCTTGCGACGATCACGAGTGAGTCCATCGCTGGCCTCTATACTGCCTCATCACCTGACATGTGACATCTATCAGATTCGTTTTCCAGGCTCTCGGGCCATTGGTCGACCATTGTTTCACTGGGTTCGCCAGTAGGCGCATCAAATGCGTCAACGGTGCCGGTGTTCGCAAGATCAAGAGAAACATCACGAGTCTTCAGCAGATTCTCAGGGGAATTGGGACAAATAGCGACAATGGCACGTTGAGTAAAGCTCTCGGCTATTGGGGTCTTTATGAGCAAGGGCCAAAGGTAAGGGTCTCCGCCCTTCGCTAATATCGACATCCGCTGACAATCGATCTCAGAAAATGCTCGAGGGCTTGAAGGCACACAAAGGCCGACCGCCATTTGCATTCGAGGAATACAATACGATGCTCAAATTGCAGTGTACCGATGACACCGATGAGTTGAACACACATCTCATTGATCTTCATGCGTTATCAATGGAGATCGACGGATGGGATCTTGGAGAAGATTGATGGGTACATTGTGTTGGCCCATAGAGAGTTGAATGACGCCCCTGATGCATGTGATTATCAAACATACTGAAGAAGGTCTTGTGGTGTGTTTGCCACTAGTCGCTTTGCCCCTCGACCGAATAAGTATCTACATTGCTGCTGAATACAGTGAATGCACGAATACATGCATGAACGATGCGTACCGTGGCTTGATGAAAAGTGATGCATTATTTCAAACCCTAGCAGTCTGATCCAGGTGTAGCCCCGCGATATGATAATTCTCGCCTAGCAAGCTTTGAACCCGACACAATCAGCACTCGCATACATCAACAGCTCCTAGTAGTCCGCACAGATGAAGGGACTTACGTCTTACAAATAACCACAATTCTATCTAGCCTTGACACAAGCGAGAACGTAGTAGTGATTCCCAGGGCGTAGCGCATATAGTTGTTGGACTCGAGTACTGTGTACTGTTAGGCCAAGCCAAGGGAAGGAAGGTAGAAGTACTCACCATCCACCGTCACTAAGCTAGGTAGCTCAGTGGATTGATCAGTAGGATCTAGGGGAAGATCGAGGCCCTTCGTCTTTCCCATTCTGAATCGCGCTACCAGCGGACTTGGGGTGATTTGCGGCAATGACGAACCTGCTCTTAATGCCGTTGAGCACATGCTCAGAACAACAAGTACATCGCCGAGGAACATGGGATCCGAAAGACGTGTCCGGTCGAGGAGAGCTTTACGCCATGGTCTATCCAATTGGGTAAGAACATGGTTGAGCTGTGATAGTAATGACAGTGTGTCTTGTAGAGTCTCAAAAAGAGCCTATGGTGCGTTATGCGATGAGCTTCGATGCTGACGTTGAAACCTGACAAGCTTACCTTGTATCGTTCTTCCGGCCATTTGCCTCTCAATGATTTCTCGCGAGTAGCATTTATATGTCTGGCTCCCAGCTATGAAGATGTCATGTTAGGCGCGTGGCCTTTGTGATATCGAGAGTACGTAGCACGCACCTTGTTTAGCTTTGAACGCCAGGCAATCAACTGCTTGAGAATCTCATCGTCTTCTTTCAGATGGTAATGAGGGTCATTTGCATGAGACAATATCTCACAGAGAATTGAGCCCGTGATGCCGATCGTTCGCGCGTACGAGTATCGAATAGCTCTCTTTGCTGAATAAACGGGAGGTACTATAATGATCAGTTTGCGTCTCCCATAGCCGTGCTCACCATAGGAGAATACCCAGGCAGCCGAGATACCGATAAGAACACAAAGAAATCGCCGCCTTGGCCTATGTCAGCTCTGCTTTGTTGGCACAATTTGGCGAAAGCAACACACCAGGCAACGTCCCATCCCCATTCGGCGTGAGTCAGAGGACCAATGGTTCCATTGTAATAAGACTTTGGTATTGTATCGTCAGCAAAGAACAATGCAAGGCGGTACACAAAACTAACATAACCTATCACGAGTCCCATAGTCACAGGCAACATGACAGCCGTCAGGACCGGGCCTGGAAAGTGCACTCGAAAGAAAGCAGCAATCGGGAAAATCACTGCACAGGCAGCCGCTACTCCGTACTACACATATGTCAGAGCTTGATTTGATCATTGTGCTCTGGATTGCACGTATCGATGGCAAATGAGCTTACGGGGTTTCCTTGTCCATGTCCGCTGCTGATGTACCTGTAACATGTCAGTACTCCAGTCACCATATTGATGACCTGAAATGTACCAGATAACCATTCCCAGTAAACAGCCCCAAGAAGAAGCCACCACTCGGCTGAGCCATGCTGTTGCAGTATCACCCTGTCAATCATGTCAGCAAATGATTTGTGCGCGGCCCAGGTACCGTAAGACGATCATCACAACATACAGAGTACACGGCTAGTGCTTGAGGACCATTTGTCAGCCAGTGTTATTTGGAGCCGCAACGGGCTGAGGGGTGTGACAGCATATCCCAAATGCTTACTGAGTTGCGCCATGATGGTACACCACACTCCTCGATTGAAGTAGTAGAAAGAAGCCGATGATCTAACCTGTTTAGCAAAGATTTCGCTACCAACATACTGAAACTCACGCAATGAAATTCGGCAAAGTAGTCAGAGCCCCCAGCATGGCAGCCTTGACGGCGAACATTGAGCTCCTGCTTTGGAAAATGTCGAGCACTTTGATGGCTTTCGCGACGAGGTTGAGCCACGAAGAGTCGAAAGGCTTATACTCGGGATTACGAGTTTTGGCTTCTCCTAGCAGCTCGTCTTCATCACGATTGAAAGCAGCTGAGTGGAGATGATCAGCACTGAGATCACGCCTGATAATGCTGCCTACCATCGTTGTCGTGCCCTTCTTCGTCTCCTTCTGTAAGATGCTTTTCCTTCTGGCTGTGTTGCAAATGGCTGAGCATGGAAGATATGCGAGGAAACCATAATCTTCGGTCAGGTCGCGATCTGTCCAGATCTTGCATCATCCGTAAGAGTTCCAGAAGAGCAGTCGAAAACTCTATCAGATGATATTGAGCAACAAAATTTTGAAACAAGCCGCGAAAATGGATCTATAAGGGATAGGATTCAGCGCTATAACTGTACATTTGGTCGATACATACCTTGCCTCGAAGGCCGGTCTCTGCTGGGTAATTTGGGTCAAACAGGTGCTTGTAAGGTTGGATAATTTGCAACCGAGATATTTGAAAGTCGTCCAGCGCGCCTTGTAGAGTTGCAATCACTTGCGACAATGCGTCATCAAGTGCGCCTTTCTTGTGATTCTGAGTTTGTTGGCTTGCCCATGTCATGATGTGGCGGTCATGATTCACATTCACAATCCATTGGGACGCTTTTGATAAGGCGCTTTGGCACCCTCGGATGACTGGAACACATCCGCGGGCCAATATGTCGAGTTGCTCAAGGACCTGGGCAGTATCGCTGAGTGGACGTTAGCTGCAATCAAGACGATATTGGAGAATCAAAAACTTACACGGCAAAGTTGCGCTCGATGTCCATGTACCTGGTGCTTTCGTAGATGCCAACAGGCTGTTGTGACTTTCTCAGATGATCCAACAGAGACATATGACTCCCTTTGTGAGAGTTTGATATTCCATGAGGAGAGCCGCTCCGTCGCAGTATACCGGGCATGCTGAATCTTTTTGACCCAAAGTAATGATTGGGGTTGTGAGAGCCGTCGGCTGAGTCCTCGAGCTCCAACGCGGGTGTGGCAGCATCATCATCTCGAACTTCGTACTCGCCGTTGTCATGTCGATCGTCCAGAGACTCGTTCCTAATAGAAGTCGCTCTCGATCCAGGTCGTGATTGTGCGACCTGTTGAACAGACCACGCAGACGAATCCAAATGAGAATGTTTAGCATTCGTGATGATAACGTCAAAGAAGAATGCCATTCCTCCTGAACGAGCTTGGAGAAGTGCAAGGTGATCGAAAAGATTTCGCAGGTCTTCTCCAGAGAGACGGCTGTAGCTGATGTCCACTGATAGATACCTTTGTTGGGCCCTTAGAGGGGGTAGACCGGTAAGCGATTGGAGAAGCTTGGTTCTGATGCCTTTGCAGCGGCCTGCCCAATTTTCGAGCCTGTCCGCACAGCCCTCTCGCTCTCTCTGAGTGTCTCTGGCGGACAGAAAGTCGTCGTCTTCGGAGTCGGCAACGGTTTGTTCAGCTTCGCTGAAAAGTTCGTCGATTGATTTCATAGCGGACGCCAAAGGGTCCAAGACACCCCCGAATTTAGATTGAAACGAATGTCCGACTGATTCGGGAAAGATGAGGATGGAACAGAGGGTCCCGATGCCAGCTTGAATGGCCATGGGTAAGAAAAAGATCAGGCCAATATCGTAGACATTGGTGGGGTAGAAAACAGCAGTGGTCAAACTGACGTCGATCAATATGCAGGAGAGAACCAGAGGGAAAGTAGCGGGACTAGGAGACGTCCTGAGTTTCCACCACAGCTGGCATCAGCTCATCAGCATCTGTCTTTCAATGCTTGTCAATCACGTACCAAAGCCCCCGTTCCAGCGGAAAGGAAAACGGCACAAACAACAGCTGGTTTGGCTTGCAGGTATGTCCCGTCGAATATCTTGATAGATCAGATCAGACATGACAACATGTCAAGTACTTACTATCCGTTGTTGATATTTTGTAGGATTCGATTCCTTCAAGAACCCCCACTTAGCTTCAGCTTTGGCTACTTTGTCGAGGTCCAGCGGACCACGAGTGGCGCCAGCAATAGCAATCGCGATGATGACCTGCTCCATCAATGATCTCGGTCGTAGTCGGCAAATCAGAATAGTTACTTACCCAGACCCAAGACATAGAAGCGAAAAGGAACAGGTTGATATATTTTTCCAGCGTCTGGACGACCGGCTCGTACGGGGGCATCATAAATCCAACAATAAGAATGAAGACTATGGTGCACTTCGTATCAGTCGTGCATTCCTGAAGAAGCAAAGATCACGTACATGAACCTGTCCCAATAGCTCGCTCGACTGGAACAATCACAATCAAAACTAAGCCTAGCCAAGACTAGTGCGGGGTGTCAGTGAGAATCACAGGCGTACCACCGCCTGCTCACAGATACCGCACTTCGTAAGACAGGCTTGAGTTTTCCCCAGGTGAGCTTAGGCCCGATCCAGCTGAAATATCTATGCTCGGCAATCTTTTGGGCACGAAGTTGCGCGAAGGTGACCATTTTCTCTGGCCATGATCGCATTGCCCGATCTCCTGAGTCATCGCCTGACAAGCTCCTTCGGCTGGTGTTGGTCGCGTTTTTACCCTCGGCTGTGATGGCAGAAGAAGGCCGTTTCGTGTGAGAACGGTGGTCCTCGGCATCTTGCTCTGAAGGAGGCAAGGCAGCGGTGTCTTGACTTTCAATTCGGACGTGGTTCCGCTTAGGACTCTGTAGTGCTGGTAGCCTAAAGTGGGCGGGCACTCTATCATCTGGTGAATCATGGGATGAGCCGTTGGACGGCTCTGATTCTAGGTCGGTTCGGACGAGAGTAATAGCCGGCGGTTTCAAGCGGAGGGGCGAGCCGGAGTCTTGAGGCGGCATTTTTGACGGCGGGTCATATGTTGATGAATAGATAGGGCGGGATTATGTATGAAAGATGTGACAATAGGAGTGAATGAGCAAAAACACCTTACCCTTCTGCTGTTCATATATATCTTTCCCGCACGACCGACCACAGGACGCGTGACTGTTTGCGTAAAATTGCTTCCGTCAATAAACCTGTTGAGCGTAACCTGTGACGGTGACTAGCTGAATACTCGTGAAGAACCGGACAATTGCCGCCCCTCCATACTTGATCACGGTGTACCATGTACATATGCAAGCAGACCAAAGAAACAGACACCCTCCCTATTCAATGTATGACTTCCCCGTCATCTCCCCATTCGATATCAGGCAGCTTCCGTTCCCAGTCTATATGTGCCTTCTTGTCTTCTTCAATCCATTGAAATGTAAATGACAAAAATGCGCGGGCAAAACCGGGGAGATTCGTCTCGGGCAAGGCGGAGCTAAAGGGCAGCTTTGACATATGGGGCACTGTTGCGGGCAAAGCGTCAGCTATGCTCATAGCCAGGCATCAAACATACCCAGACGAGCCAAAACACTGTCTTTGACAGTAGGCTTCTGACCGCCCTTTCCTCTTCTTTTCTTTGGCTTCGTGAATTCTCCTTCGCCGCTGTCCTCTGTGTTCAGAGTGTCTCGCACATATCCGGGTAAGTAGTCACCCAGATCATTTCCAAGTATCACTCTGCCTGGTGATGGTCCACAGAGATGAGGATTGTAATTAGTAGAAAGAACAGCTTCGTATATCTGACGGGGTGCGTGTGGAAGATAAATGAGATATGACCGGCCCTCTTGCAGCTCGTGCTTTCCGAGCTTCAACCAAAGATCAGAAAAAGCTCTGCGGTAGAAGGAAAGTCCGCGTACCAGATTTTGTTCAGATACATCTAGTCCCAGTTGACGAAGCAATGCTTTGTCGTTATCATCGAATATTGGGTCGAAGATCACTACTTCGGATATATCCGACTAGAAGCACGTTAGCTATCGGATATCAAGAGTGGACATAGGAAGAGCTGACCTGTAGTGCGGTGAGAAGCCCGAGCAGGAGCGCGAGCTGAATGCGGGCTGTCCGGTCTGTGTATGGCTTTCCCAATCCAAGGCAAAGGACTCTGGTAGCTCTTGCCTGGTTGTTGTCGCCTAATAGCTTGTTGAGTTTCGTTCCAAGTTCTGTTCCACAATCAGCTCTCCAGCGTGACGTTGCACTGCTTTACAAGATACGCACCTTCCCAATTTGAGTCCCACTTCTCTATCATTTTATCTCGCTTTTCTTGGATATCCGCCACGACAGCCTTCAGCTGGTCTTCGCTAGCGCTAACGTCTCGCTCGACGCCGTCCTTGTCGCCCTTCGCTTTCGAGCGCGGCTTGCCCTTCTGCTTTGGCATCACAAAGCTTTCGGCATCATTGGCAGCCTGTCCACTCAAGCCAGACGATCTTGCAGACGCGAACTCGTCACGAGAAGTAGTAAGACTATGTTTGGTGGCTTTTCGGGCAGCTTTCGCAGCTGCCAGGCGCTCTTCCTCGTCTGCTTTCTTTCGCGCTTCTCGAGCTCGGCGTTTGTCACGTTTTGATGGACCGCTAGCGGCGCTTTTGTCCGTCTTCGTGTCTCTGTCTGTGGCGTCGAGTTCGTCACACAAGGGTCGCTGCTTAAGCAGTGGTGAAGTTGTCCCTATATCTGGTTTCGATTCCGGTGGGCCTGATTGAGGGGCTGTTCTACCACCCTTCTTTTTGGGCCTACTTATTTGTCAGCGCGTGTTACGTGGGGCGTGCTTTCCAAACGTACTTTTTGGAAGCCTGAGTGGTCTCATCGTACTCTTCTTGCAGACCGCCAACATCTTCTGGGGGGGTGGCTAGAGAACTATCCTTTGCCAGGAAAGCAGGCTCTGTCGCGTCGGGCTCATCGTACTCTTCCGCCTCGCCGATTTCCATACCCATCGCCTTCGCCTCCGCTCTCATCTCTTTTTTCAGTCTCCAAACTGCCTGTTTGTGTCTCTTGCTCCTCTCGTGGTTTTCCCAGCTCGCTTCACTGGCAAAAGTCTTGCTACAAGCAACACACTCAAAAATTTCACTGCCATTTCCATCATCTATCCGCACACCAGTTCCGTCCCCCACTTGCTCTTCCTCTGCATCTTCATCAACTTCATCCCCATTGTCTGAATTGTTCCCAGACATCTTCTGCCAGTCTTGCTCTTCGTACGCGGCCGCCTGGCGAAGGCGCTCTTGTTCACGTCGGTGCGCTGCTTCTGCTTGAACAGCAGGTTTTGTGGAAGGTGTTGCGACTTTCGAGCTGGATGATTTCATCGATTTGGTTTGTGCAAGCTTTGCTTGGTGGAGCTTGAATCTAGGATCGCGGTGTTGTATGAAGCTGACCAGTTGCTACAATGAAATCAACCATGTGATCAGCATGCTATATGACAGTTGGCCGTGACCGATGCTGCACATACTCGAATCGTGTCATTATAATCCTTCCGGATATCTTCTCTGGCCTTCTTGTTCTCCTTTTCCATTGCTCTCCTCACCATCCGGTCGTCACCCTTGTCTGCATCCCACTTGTTGATCCATTCAAACCGTTTTTCGGTGACGAACTCTCCCCACACCGCATAGAAATCTCTCGCCCATATCTGTGAGTCTTTTTGGGCGCGCGTGAGACCGTGGGGCGGCGAGTATGTGGTTGATGATTGTCCGAATGAAGGATACATCATACGGTGCGGCGTATCGCTGTGGAGTCGTTCGTCTGAAGCCAAAAGACCGAAAAGCGTCCTATAGACGGAATAGAACCCCTGCTCACAGTAAATCTCATTTCGTCTTCCTAAAGGACGAAAGGGCTCACCTCTGTAGAGTCATCCAGCTTTCGGGTGAGTTTTGGATCGAAGAATGCCATGAGCTGCTCCAGCTGGATTCCGGGGTCTCCAGCGGGACGGCGGTTGAGCTTGGATCGTGGGTCATTCGTAGCTGCGTCCCCTGCACGAATATATTCAAAGATATCGTCGTCGGTGGCGGCTACCGGAGCGTTCCTATGAGAATCATAGAAGGCCCTTTCCTAGTGATTATAGCTCAGCATAGACCGATCTCGCACCTGGAAAGCTGCCCACTTGAGGATCACTCAAAATCTAAAGAATGGTCAGTACTGTTTCTGGGTACACATTCACTTACTTCATACGCTTGCTGTAAATCTGCAAAGAACTTGGTAGCCTCTTCAATTCTATCCGGATTCTTGTCCGGGTGGTTGACGAGCTGAAGAGTGGCTACCGTCTTAGCCCCCTCATATCTCTATACAGGGCTAGACTACTCACGGCCAATTTTCTGTATGATTTCTATACAGCCGCCTTTGTTAACTCGGTAGTACACATGATACACAACATGACTCACCTTGATGGCTTCATAGTCTGCATTCTCATCCACTTCCAAGAGCTCGTAATAATCAGGAGGCCGTCGATCGACCTCCGAAGTACTTGAGGAAGAGCTTTTCGACTGATCCGCGCCCATTCTGACAGATAATTGATTTTGATGATATGATGGGCGAAGAGCGTTGTGTGGTTTGTGCCGACGTTTTAGTTATCCCCACAGTAGGCAGATCTGGATATATGTATAGTTTGGATGACCCAAGATGATCGTCGGTTGGACCATCAGCGACAGAATCAGTTTGGCTGGGAGTTGACGCTGCTGTTGTGGGTTTTGACCGAAAAGGTGGAGGTCGCGACGCCCTGTGCCGCAGTCTGAACCGACTATCCACTCAGCTGTGCTTTTGGCACGTAAGTGATCCTACTGTGGTTCAATCGGTGCGCACAAACTGCAGCCGTTCAGGGCATGTACTTATGTATACATACAGCATCACCAGATACATGAATACTGTATAATGAGACGCTGCGTCCCATTTTCGATTTACACCAAGATACGGTCACGGCTGCCGGCTTCGAAGCTCGGTCGCTCTCGCTTGCAGATCATCTAATCTATCTTGCCTTTTGGTAATGAGTCTCTCCAGTCCCTCAGCAGTCGCCAAGGGCTTGGCAAGTATATGTGTTTTGAGTGTGGTATCCAATCTCGTCTGGGAAAACATTAGCATTACCGCTGCAATGGCGCCTTTACGACGTACCTCCAGATCTCCTTTTAGCATTCCCGTGATTCTATCCCAGTCCTTCCAGAACCTCTTTTGAGCCCTGGCCCACAGCGTCTGGCCCAATGCCAGCGAAGCGACCACGCTCAAGACACCCAATCCTCCCGCTGTACTGGTCGAAAATAGCTCTAGGGGCGCGACGGACCCAATCCAGCTACCAGTCACACCTAGGATCGTTGTTGAATAGGTCGTCAGCAGCGATCGCTGGGCGGAGATCTGGAGGCGGGGAATGGATTGCGAGATAAGCTGGTTGCGTCGGGTGAGAATAGGAGAAAGTAGATGGGCTGGAGTCAAGGTAGGGATAGATAGCGAAAGTGTAGAAAGATGATTTGCCAGAAGGGGAGAGGAAAGAGGGTTGCCTCTGGTAGCTGCGGAGATATGCCTTTGGCGACTAGGATGAGCGAGTTGTCGGAGAATCTCGTCAGAAGAGGAGGACAGGGATTGCTGAAGCTGGGAGAGCTGGCCCGTCTCAAAAACGATCTGTCTCTCCAGATCCAGGGCGAGGCGAGAGCCAACAAACCCGCCTAGCTCGAGGGCGACGTCGTCGACTTTCAGTCTACCGAGAAGACCTAACCAGCTCAAATCGTCCTGAAAGCTACTTTCGATTCGTGACTTTATTCTCTCCATCTCGTATTTGACTTCTCCTTCGACGACTGCTCCATCGACGCCTTTTGTAGTCACGCTCAGATGCCTGGCTCTAATGGCATAGTTTTCGGCGGTACGGCGCAATTCAGACACCGTCAAGACAGCTTGACGTACGACGTCACGCTCTTGAAGAATGGCGTCCTCAATGTGGGATAGAGCAAATTTGGCAAGTCTTTGGGCTGTACACAGTTGGGGTTTGGGGATGGCACGAAGAGTTTGATGCAAGGCGTGCTGGAGTGGACCAATATGCGACTGGAGGTAGTCTTTTTGGAACGACTCAAAAGCCGTTGTTTTCATTGCAGGGGTGGCACTTGTGAGCTCTAAGCCTTTGGCCAGGAACTCGAGGGCGTTCAGAGCCTTGTCGGCTCGCACAAACGACACGCTGGGGTTGTCCGATCGCGCGTCGCCTGTGTCCCACCGACATCCCCCAGCTGCTTAGTCAACTGGGTGACGACGGATGCTTGGGTTACGGATGACGGTAGGGGTCCATTGACCACAAACTCCACCAGCTCGTGATTGAGAAGAAAGGGCAAAAGACGCTGTATTTCGGGGACCGATGTGAGGCGAATGGGATCAATCGAGACGACCACAGCGTCCGCTGAGAGTACTGAAGAGATGGCAGACTCTGGATCTAGTCTATTCACTATGGGACATAGCTTAGCAGACGACCAATGACAAAGGACGCAGCGTACCGTCTATCTCGAGTATGTCATACGCCGAGTTCTGTAGCCAAGAAGAAGACACCGCCAAAGACTCTGGCTCTCGATGCAGTCTCGCTCCAAGGCTTGGCGCAAACGTAGTAAGCATTGTCAGAATGATGGTCGACTTTACTCACCTGAGATTAAATATTTCGATATTGGCGTCTTGATGTCTGTCGACTATGGCTCGACGCGTAGCTGCGTCATCGACTAATGGGTCCTGCAGAAGGGCAGACACGACCTCTCTTGGCGAAGCAGCTTGATCCCCGATTACTGACAGTCTATGAGTCTCGATGTGATCCTCCGTGTATGAAAACTTACCTGCCAGTCTGCCTCTTCTCTGTAAAGACAAGTCATCCAACGCACTCTGCACCCTTTCGGCCCATATAGGATCACCGCCGAGCTCTTTGTCCAGCAGCCCTTTGATGTCCTCTAGCTCGGTAGCAGCAAATTCTGCCCCATTCACAGTCACTTGGGGCACTGGAGGATCATCTGGAGAGGTTGCAGGTCGCAGGTCCGAAGACGATGAGGGCGTGGCGGGCGTTGTAGACGCGAAGGGCCTCCTCAGGCGGTACGCGATGCCGGGAGGGGGGTTGGGGCGGAACGGGGTGGAGCTGGGGGCCAGGAGGGTTCTCGGGGGGCATCTGATGGGGGCGCGAGGGGGCATGGCTGCAAGGAAGGCGCGCGGGAGAACCAAAACATGAACATGACAAGAGACTTTGGCCGAATGGATGCCACTTTCTTCTTCGAGCGGCCCTTTTGCGACGCGTCTGGCGCATCACGATTCACGATTCACGACGCTCGCCTTCCTCTCCACCCGCCCGCCCATCCTGCCCCGCCCCGCCTCACGCCACTCTCCTTCAAGAACCACCCCAGCAGGCGCGCCCCCTTCCACTCTCGGCTTGCGCTCTAGCACCTTCCCTTTCCAGCGCGCTCGGCCCTTCGATCAAGACAACCACTCTCCGTCTCTTGCAATCCTATCAGCCTTCTTTGAAGCATCTGTCAAGGAACTCTTCTATATCGATAACATGGCGGACCAAGGTTACATGTCATCCGGCTCTGGTAGCGGACGTGTATCAGGTGGAGAGGGTGGTGACAGAAACTCGTGCGTCTTGTGCAGATGAATGCTAGTTTGCATGACTACTGACACTCTACTTCAGTGTTGTTTTGAAGGTTGGAATGGTGGGGGACTCGCAGATTGGGAAAACATCCTTGATGGTGAAGTATGTGGAAGGGAGTTTTGAGTAAGTCTTGATGTCGCTGTTTGTTGCCAATCTCTCTGACTACGGAATGCAGCGAGGACTATATACAGACACTCGGCGTCAACTTTATGGAAAAAACGATTAGCATACGGAATACCGAGATCACCTTTTCAGTAAGACACTTGCGGACGCTTCGCTGAAACATGCTGATTCGGACAGATATGGGATCTCGGAGGTCAGCGAGAATTTGTGTCCATGCTTCCCCTCGTGTCCAACGATGCAGTCGCCATCCTCTTCATGTTCGATCTTACTCGGAAAGCCACCCTCAACAGCGTCAAAGAATGGTACCGTCAAGCCCGAGGCTTCAACAAGACTGCTATACCAGTCTTGATCGGCACAAAGTACGACCAGTTCGCTGGGTTTCCGAGAGAAGAACAGGAGGAGATCACCAAGCAAGCCAGGAGGTTCTCGAAGGCTATGCACGCGCCATTGGTGAATCGATATATCATCTTGTGGCTCAATGTGGCTAACGGGAAGACTTAGATATTTTGCTCCACATCACACTCTATCAACGTTCAAAAGATCTTCAAAATTGTACTTGCAAAGGCTTTTGACCTGAAGGTGCGTCAGCCGTCTATCGCGCGGAGATCAAGTACCATGCTTATCCGGCTCCTACAGTGTGTGATTCCAGAGATAGATGAGGTTGGGGAACCTATCATAATTTATCAGGACCTTTAGTGTAGTCCGCCTATGCTGGTAAATTTCACTCTCATCGCAGTGCTTTGCGCTACAATGCGAAGCCATACGATATCAGGAGTAAGGGTTGTCTGTCGCTCGAGCGTAATAGAAGTGTACATCAATGAGGGGAGTATGATCTTGTGAATTTGCCCATTTTTATTCCCCTTCCTTCCACCGGTAACATATAACGAGGATGCGACGTCTTGCTATGCCCATGCCGATTGCAGACGATAGGAAGTTGCTGATTCTTGAGGGCCAACAAGATTGCAGGGGCGCCAGATGCCGAACTGAGCTGTCCGTCGGAGGTGTGTTTTGTTGAGTGAGGAACGCGGCAACAAACATCTCGCGGTGCAACCACAAGTATTCCTTGCTTTTGACTTTCTGTAGGCTGGTCAGCATGGCCCTTCCTTCTCTACCTCTCCCATCCCCTCGCTACGACTCTGCCGTATCATTTTCCATTCCAGCACCACCTTCTCACAGCGCCATGGCCTCCTCAATGACGACGCAACATACCACTGCTGCCAGCCGGGCAAAAAGACTGTCGACTTCCGCTACACCCAGTCTGGTCAAGCGCGGGTCCGTAATCATGATGAGGGACGGGGTGGGCGACGGGGACGTACCGTTGGAGAAAGAAGTATGCCTCACATCACATTGCCTGCCAGCGTCAGGCGGCTGATCTTCATAGTGTGCAAGTCTGAAGAAGATTAATGACGGGCTCAACAAGACCAACAACTCGGTGAGTACCCGATGATACCGTCAGTCGCCCACCAATAACCCCTTTCGACAGCTGCGCATCAGAATATCGGAATTGGAGACCCTTATCGAACAGGCCACCGGTCCAGAAGTGGAGAGATTGTCAGAAGAGGTCTTGACTTTAGAGGAGCTGTTGAGCGTGACCCAAAGGCAAGCAGGCGAGCTTTCGGCAATGTACAGAAGCTAATCGTCTACTAGGGATAATGAAGCAAAGTTGACGGAAAACGAGAAGCAGAAGCAATACGTAAAGGTGCGCACCCTCTTGCCCACAAACACCCGCATCTGACAGACCACAGGATCTTGAAAACTTGTTGGGAACGCTAGCTGGCCCCTCGTGGAGAGTGAGTTGTCCGAAAAGGCTGTCAATCCCATGCCGGCACCTGACATTCCCCCAAGATAGACCATCAGCTCTCAGCGCCCTCTGTCCCTACTACCAACATCTGCTCTGCCTCCACCCCGCTCCCAAAGCCAAAACCTAAGCAACTCTCGAGTTCGCTCCGCCACTCCGTATCATTCTCATCTGGTCCCCCCGCAAGCAAGTTGCATCGTCGGGCGAACAGTACCATTAATCTCGGTTCCATGATGGCTAGTGTAGGGGCTGGAGCGGGATTAGGCGCTGTGGAAGAGATGAGAGAGAGCGGAGGTCAAGACTCTACTCCGACTGGTGCCCTCAGGCGACTGAATGGTGGGCGGTCGGTGAGCGCCAGGCCGGGCACTAGCGCTACCAAGGAGCTGGAGGAAATACGTGTCCCTTCTTCACCCCCAGTCTCTCACAAGAGGGCTGCCGAACAGACCTCCGGTAGGGACAACGGATATGTCAACACCGATCAGCTCAACAAGGTACTCCATCTCCTTTCTACAATCGATCCCACCACCATCTCGTCTCTCGTTGGCCGCGAGCTTCAAGACCAACATCGACCTGGCCGAGGAGAAATGAACGAGGTCACAAAGGGCGACAAGGATAGGTCCATCTTGGAGAAGATGTTTGAGGAGCAAGAGAGGCGGCTGGCTGCCAGAGAGGAGAGGTTGGACAGGCTAGTGCAGATTGTGAGAATCGAGGAAGCAAGATATGATTGGCGAGTGTAGGAGGGAAGTCAAGCGAAGCATGGACTGTGACTTGCTTCCTGTCAGACGTATGTATGTAGCCTGCCAATTGTCATCTGAATACTGCAGTGACGCCTGATACAAATGAGTAGGACACATCTCACGTAAGCACGATTTTCATTCCCAGGCGGTCTCAGCCGCTATTGAACATATGTCTTGATGCGGCGGGATCAAATGGGTGCCGAGGGTGTCGGTGGCCCGTGGGGGGGGTACACGCGGTGACTGTGTGCTGTGTTCGGGGACACCCAAAGGACGCTTGGCCACAGATCTGGCTGACGGTGGCTGACTGGACTGACTGGAGTCTGGAGTGGTATGCACTCCCTTCCTCTTCCCATCCCCACCCGCTGCTCCAAACACACCACGGGCGACGCACAAAGGGAAGCCCACCACCCGAAAGGCAGTCCCTGCGCCGTCTAGCTCTGCTGCATTGTCGTCCTCGCGATTCCACACCCTCGTCAGTTCCTCACACCCCTTCACCATTGCTCACCATCCTGCAAATGGCCCAGGAGCGGTACCTTGCTCTCACTCTGTGATATGCCAACAGCCTCCTCCTACCTCAGGTATTTCCAAGATCCTCCTATCTCTTGCTTTCATAGCACCCCTCCAAACCGTGAGCACATAATTTTACTTGGCTGGTCGCTTTCTGATCAAGTCATAGGTTTTTTTTGCTACAGCCATACCACGGTCGATAGCACTCTGATCGCCTTGGTCGACCACCAGGATTGAACCGACCATACAATGGACTCTCATCCTTGCCCATCACCACAGGCTCAGCACCACAACTCTCCTTTGGGTCATGACGAAGATTTTCATTCCCAAATGCCCCCCAGCCACTACGCATCCCCGGCAGTGCCTTTACCGCCACACCAGCACCAAGCAAAAGGCTATCATGCGTCCACTCTGCCCTTGAGTCATTCCCCACATCATGCAGCCGGAAGTCTGTCTTCATCCGGAACGGGGGCGTCGACCAACATTTCACCGCACCTCGCGCATCATCATGAGCCGCCAGGTCACTTCTTTCTCAACTCCCACCATACGCAGAACAAAGCCTGGCCCAATCTACCGTCATCCAGCCATGCTCATCACAGGCGACATAGAGACCATCATTTTGAGGAGATTCCCTACCACATGTTGACAGTGGTCATCGGAAGAGCTAGCTCTTTTGGCCTGAGAGATGTTCTCAGGCAAGCGGCGGCCAACAGGAAAGCTTTAGGCAAAGGCCGCTTCGGGACGAGACCAAATCTGCAGCTGAGAAGGAGTAGCAAGATTGGCGGCGATCTTTTCGAGAGGCAAGACAACCTACCATCTCCCTTTAAGCCCCTTACTTTCGACTCGCACGCCTTGCTCACTACACCGCCGCTTCCCCCTGTCGATCATATTCGGGATCGCCCTCGAGATGGTGACTTTTTTGCCGGGTTTACGCCTCCAACTGAGAGAGTCGGGGAAGACTTTAGACCTGAAGGTATCCCCAGAAGCTCCAGTGCCCCCAGTGTGCCCCTTCTGGCCATGGAAAGGCGCAAGAGCGATGCCAGCGAACCGAGCGCCTTGCCTGGCGACAGCTCTGCTGTTGCTGGTACAAGACCATCATCCTACCATCACAACGACGACTCTTTCAACAATCGTGGCGCTGTCATCTTTGACGGTTCGGAGCCCCGGGAATTCACCTCATCCCCTAAATCCTCTTCATTTGTCCAATCTCAGCACCAGACCATAGCAGTGTCGCGCCGGGCCACAGTCAAAGCCCGAAACCTTTCCGACCAAATCCATACCACACCGCGTCACCATACGCTGCATCAAGTAATTCCCGATGCCTCTGACCTCTCGTCCTACCTCGGCCCTGAACTGTCTGCTGCTCTCCAGAAGCGTATGATGGAGAGCGGGGGCTCCCTATCTGGAGCTGGTGGCTCGGGAGGCGAAGCTCGGTTGAAGGGCCTGAGCGACAAAGTCTCTCCGAGGGTGGAGCTCGAGGTCACTAGCGGCGGATTGGGGGGTAGCTCGATTGCACTCGGGAGCCGGGGAAAACAAAAAGAGCATGTGACAGAATCGGAATGGAGCTTTGAGGTACCAATTTTGGAGGTCATGTCACAGGCTATCAAAGGGAGATTGGAGCCTCTGGAAGTGAAGGAGCATTATCATTTGGCTGAGTGAGTCTTCTTCTTCGTTGTCAAAATTCTTCAAAGTGCTCAAAGCGAATACAGATATGGTTGTCATAGAGAGATACCCAATCCTATTCTAGAAGAGTCTATCAAAGTACTCTCGCAACAAGCACATTCCCGCTCGCAAAACAGTTTTACAGTTGTCCATCAAGCAACGCCCGACTTTGATACTCGGATACTACATGCCAATCTCGCTTCCCATCCTCTATCATATCGGAAAAGCAGCTCTAGCTCTGCCCCGAATGTTCTCACGACATTCTCGTTTGCTGCTTTCGCCTCCATCGCTTTGTCGGCTGCTTCTGTAGATTTTGCCGTCTGCTCAGCTGGAGAATTGACAAAACTGCAGGGCGAGATACCGCCTAGGTCTCTGTACTCGTTTACAAGCCAAGCTGAGGAGAAAGAGAAACATTCCGGAAAGGATCTTGTCCGTTTTCTGGAAGCCCGTTCAATTGAGTTCAGAGCGGGTGGGATTTTGGTCCTCCCCTTTGTGGCTCGGGTGGGGCAAGAGGTGGACGAACATGTTCATAAACAGTCTTTTCCTCCAAGGGCTTCTCCTTGCCGTCTCCCCCCTTCGCTCCCCACATCTCCCCATGGCAGCTCATTCGCGCATGGCATCAGCACTCCTCTCACCGAAATTCGTCCAACAATATTCTCTCATACCCAGCAGCATGTCACCACACCTCCCGTGCCCCCCTCAAAGCCTGGCGGAAAAAGCTACCTCCCGGACATGTTTCAGCGAATGTCACAGGCGCTTTCGCCTGCTGTTCAACGGCTGGTATCTCTGGGTGAGATCAGAACACATGTGGCGCCCACTCTAGTAGATGTGCCCTATTGGCCGCGTACTCTAGAGAGCGTGAAGAGCGTGCTCGACAAGAATAAAGATTGGGAGATTCTTCGGGATGCAGGAGAAGAGGCGGTGGAAGGGCATTATCAGATGGATGACAGCGATGTCGCTGATATGGAGATTGACGTAGATATGGCCGATATCTCTCTTTCGTCGTCTACCTTTCCGACCCACCGTGAGGCTGAATCGGGAGAAGTCATTCAGTACTCGAAAAAGGAAATCATGGCTTGGGCGAGTGAAGGTGTGAAGATTCGCAGACTCTGTCACCCGGCCTGGCGGGAGTTCAAGTCTGGGAGGATCGACAGAGGCGCTTATGCGCGTAGGATTGCAATGTATACTCACTCAGGTAAGGAGTCTCCTCAACAAGGCAGTCATTGCAATCAACTGATGACAGTCAGTTTATGAACCTCATCTCAAAAAAGTCCTGCGTGACAAAGGGCGAATGGACATCAGCCATTCAGAAAACACCATCGAAGAGATTGTAAGCTCTGATTGGGTGCGGTGCGGTACCGTCATCTGCTGACGCCTACCATAGTTCAAGATTCTGATAGAGAAATGCGAGGTTGGGGCTCTTGATGCCTTGTCCATTGACGTGGGGGTGATAGTCCTACGGCGTAAACCAAGAGAACCGCTTGATGACTCGCCACGATAGATTATCTCACATACCATTCCATCCATCCTTCTAAAATCCAAGCTCATGAATCAGAATGAGTGACGTGTACTCACACTGCCATGTACTTCGGCTGTACAAACATGTATTTTATATTTATAGGTAGTACATGCATTATGCACCTCGTTATTTACAACGCACATGCTACCATGGCGCTGAATGCTCATCTAATCAATATATCATGCCGATTGTCTACTGGTGCGGCTTGAGTTCTACTATTCATCGCCCCTCACTCTTCCGTATCCTCCCTCCTGCCTTCCTTTCGTCTCCTCCAGGTCTCCAAACCCGAAGCCTTTGCCGAATCCACTCTTTCTTCCCTTTCTCTTGCCGCCTTCTCCGAATTGCTCTGCCCATTTTCTCAACTCTGGCAAAGAACCCTCTTCAGAAGCACTTGGTCTGATTTCTGAAAGCGCAACCTTGAAGTGCTTGCTGAGCAACACTCTCTTCGGAAGCTGGAGCTCGGCAGCGTTCTCGGAGGCCGGTTCGAGAGCGGGGGCTTCAGAATCATCCGGGAGGTTGGCTTTAGATTTTTCGGCAGACAAGAGCTGTTCACCAGCCTCTGTTTCTTCTTGGAGGACCTGCCCGACACCTTCCTGTTCGCCAGCGTTGCTCTCTTCAACCGGTTCCGGCTGAGCTGCCACCTGTGGGAAAGTAACGTGGGCAGTCGTGGCAGACGCTGGCGCCTTCTCTTTGGCCACCTTGGCTTTCTTCCTGCCTCCTCCACCGCCGTCGGTCGGGACTACCAACACTTCGGTCTGTCCACCATCACTACCAGCGCGACCCATCAGGGAGCTTTCAGCTGCAATATCGGAGGCGGAAGTAGGTGCCGATGGGGTGTCCGAGCCGTTGAGCCAGGGGATGGGGACGGTGTCCTTGACGGCTGATATGGCAGCGCTGACACACAAATCTGCGAAACATCAGTAAAATTCGGCAGGGGAACGGGTCGGGCTTACGCTTGAGATCGGACCCCGAGAACCCATCGGTGTCATTGGCAAGCTTGTCCAAATCCACGTCGTCTCCGATCTCCTCCCCGCGCAACAGGATCTCCAAGATGGCTTTTCGACCTTCCACCCCGGGCAGATCGACCAACAACCTCCTGGGCAATCTTCTCAGGACCGCATCATCTAGATCAAAGGGTCTGTTGGTAGCACCCACGATTACGACACGTTTGTCTTTGTTGGCGATCGCAGAAGAGAGACCGTCCATTTCCTGCATGAATTCAGTGAGAATGAGGTTGTGCGACATGCTTCCGGATGATCCTCGGGAAGTGCGAGCACCAAAGAGGGCGTCGACTTCATCGAGAAACACGACACAAGGAGACAATCGACGGGCGAGGGAGAAGACGGCCTTTACACTGACACTTCATCAGTGACTACACGTACATAAAGGTGGCAGGACTTACAGTTTCTCGCCTTCACCAACATACATGTCGTTCACATCACTCGGTTGCACCGCCAACATCCTAGCACCACTTTCCGCTGCTACGGCTCTAGCCAACAGCGTCTTACCAGTACCTGGTGGGCCGAAAAGAAGTGCTCCCGTTGTTGCGTGATCTTTCAAGACACCTCCTCTGAATGCCTCTGGATAGAGAAGCGGCAAAGAAATCATCGACCTGATACCATCCACAGTATTATCGGGCAGATGAACGTCTTTGAATGTGGTCGAGGCGAGCTTGGTGGGGTCGACGATACAGTTCAGCAACCGCTTTTCGTGCTGTCCCAATTTTTTATCCTTTTTGAGATTTTCAACTACGGGATCGACTAGAGGCTGAGGCTGACTTTCGACCTCGGGACCTTGGGTCGTCTTGGAACCCTTCTTGCCACCCATGGACAAGTGGCTGGATATTTGGTTGGCCGCTTGCACCTTTTCTTCAGCCATAGCCTTTGACGCATCGATGATGTCTGCCCATGTGACAGAGATCGAGGCAGTCTTCAAGTCTTTGCCTTGCCTGATCGCCTCTTTCCCGAGTGCAATACTAGCCATATGCAAAGCATTAGACCAAGATACTACGCTGTTACCCCAGCCCTTGCCAATGCCGCTCAGCTCGGTCTTCCTGGTCAAGGGCTTGCCGGTCGTCTCACTGACCTCTAAGACCTGCAGTGGGTCCTTCAACTCTCCGCCAAGCTGATGGACCGCCCGCGTGAGCAACGCAGCAGTATACAAACGCTTACGCGATGCTCGGCTTTCTTTTTCGGCAGCAAAATTGCGTTGAAGGGGAATGATGGGGTAGGCTTTCCAGACAAGCGGCGAGGCATTGTTCTCGGCAGGATCGGCGGGGGAAGGGCCTAAACGACCCAGGAGACGTTTCAGAGGGTGGTCGGGCTGTGATTCACGAGCTTCACCATCGAATGATGGCAATATGGAAGCGAGGCTGGCGAACATGAGTGACGCTTCCAACACAAGAGGACAAGTATACGCACTTTTTACCCAGGATGCCTCGAAGCCTGGACTGGTCGCCTTCTTTTCTCCCCGCTGCATCACCTTCTTCGCTTCCCCACCATAATCTAGGCCCAGCTTTCGGCTTGACAACTTCTACCTGGTGATGGACATTGAATCCCAAACCTCTGAGCTTGTCCTCGAGAGCCGACATGACAGCGCTTGCCTGCGAGTCGAAATCTGGATTTTCGTCTTCTGCACCTTCCGCGTCATCCAAAATCTCGTTATCTTCTTTGTCTGTTGACGTATACAGAGAGGGGGATGTTTGTGAGAGAAGAGGGGACGGGGCGCATTGGAGGACGATGGTCGTAGGGTACAAGAGCTCGGGTGCGGTGCCCTTTGAAGCGCGCGCCCTTCTCCCGGCCATGAGCTGACCTCTTCTCCTTCGCTGTACGGCTTCTACCAAAGATGGCCACCAAAGCGAAAACGTCTTGCTCATGGCCACGGACGAGTCCAAAAGAATGATCCTCTTTCTGCCAGTCGTCTCAGACGACGTCTGGGTGTTGATGATACGAGAGAAGAACGAGATCCATTCTTCGTTGATGTGACCTGGAAACAGACTCTCGTCGGCATGATCTCCGCCCATTCCAGGCATAGGAAGACCGGAGAAGCCACCACCTCCGCCCAGGACGGCCACGGGGACGCCGGCGACTCCCAGACCTGCCATGGGGTCGTCGCCTTCGAGATCCTGTTGTGACTTTCGAGATGGCGAAGACGGGAAAGGAGAGGGTGCGGGCTGATACACCGGGTTGATAGGGGACGGCAAGGCAGGAGGGCCCTCTGGTGATTGATGAGCATTTGACGTTATTCGATTGGCAGGAGACGCACCGATACCCAAGGGAGATGCGGCCCCATCCAGGGCTACACCAAGAACCAGGTCGAGATTCACGACATCGGCATCTAGCTCGTTTGCCATCTTCTGTACGGCGTCTTTGACATAGAACTCTCCTCCTTCGAAAGGAGAAGCGAGTGCCATGACTGTCTCTGGAGACTGGGCACTCGGCTGGTCTTCTCTCTCGTCAGCAGGGTCTGTACGCGGTCTCCCCTGGGATCCTTGGGGGAAAGAAATGACATGAGTGAAGGGCGAGGCAGAGGGGTCGGGAGAGAGGGGTTGATTGCGAGGGAGGAAAGTGGTGGCCAGGTGTGTGTAGACTGGCTGGAGGGTGTCTGGGAGGGGGGCGGCGTTGGGGG